GGGGCTGGCAGGTCGCCCAGGGGACCGGGCTGAGCAGCTCGGGTTTCGGTTCCTAAGGGCCGGGGTTTGTTGTGCGTTTGTTGTCACCGTGACAGCCCCGGCGGGTCCCCCGGCCAGATCCTCATGCAGCCCGGAAAAGGAAGCCTGGGAAGAGGCTGTGACTTGGTCCGGAGCCCGTGGCACGGGCAGGAGCCAAGGAGGAGGCTGCACAGGTCCTGTGATGTGGTGGAGGAGCAGGACACAGCTCCGTGCTCAGCCCCCCTCCCCGGGGACCTTTCCCTTCTTGTGCTTTCCAAGAAGGGGCAGGATGTTCCCAGGCTGCCTCCTGGGACCTGCACGAGCTGTGTCACTCCAGGGCTTCACAGAATCATCCTCTGTCACTCCAGGGCTTCACAGAATCATCCTGGTTGGAAAAGATCTCGAAGACCATCAAGTCCAACCACAACCCAACTCGGTACCAAGTTCCTCGGGACACGCTGAGCTCAGGGCCAGGTTGGGGTCATCCCTGTCCCCCCAACTTCACACAGAGCCCTGCACTGCTGTGACTGCTCCAGGCTGCCGCTCAGAGCTCCACCCCAGAGCACCTTCCAGGCTCACCCTCCATCCTCCCTGCCCCCCAGGGCTGGGCACCGCAGGGACTCAGCTCATTTCAGGAATGAGTCTCTTGGCTCGGGCCCATCTGGGGTGGGATGAGGTTAGTGAGGAAACGGCTGCTCCTCCAGCCCGAGTTGCTAGAAAACAGAGGGAAGTGTTTCGGAGGTTGTGCAACCTGGATACAGTCACCCCAGCAACAGCCTGTCCACAAGGCACCACCGGGGCCACCCTGGGGTCCCGGCTGCCCTGAAACCCCGGGAGGAGAGGAGAGGGAAAAAGGCACCCGTGGGTTGAAGGACCTTCCTCCTCCCTTCCTGCAAGCCAAGGCAGCCCCTCGAGCTGCTCTCAGGAAAGCAGAGCCCAGGAACAGGCTGCACCCCCCCCAAAAAAAAAAGGGATCATTTCCCAAGGGAAGGTCCCGTCAACTTCAAAGAGGAGAAGAAGAAACTTGAGTCAGGGCTGCAGATGAAAGTGTCTCTTTATTAGCAGGACGTGTGTCCTGTGCCAAGGCTGGGAGAGGAACGTGCTGCAAGGCCTGGCACAGCCCCTGGCAAGTGGCCAGGGATCTGGATTTAGGATTTGGGAGGATTCTGGGAAGCTGTCACCATCCTGGACACGCGTGGCTTGGTCCTGAGAGAAGCCACAGAGTCTTGTAGGGGAACCAGCCTGTCCTGGCTGCTGCCTCCTGCTGCTGGAGGGTCCGTGTCCTGCTAAACCCTCTTCACTTAGTGCTGGACAAGGTGCTGGGGATGCCAGACCTGGAATGTGACTGGGGACCTGAAAGCATCAGGAGTTCTGCTGTCACCTCACCCAGGTGACACTCGCCCCGCTCTGCTGGCCTGGGGCTGCAGGCAGGGTGGGCAGCTTTGCTTGTGGCCCCTCAGCCCCCTGGGGTGGTGGCCAGGACAGCTCTGCCCACACCCTGGGCTCTGCAGAGGTACCCAGTGTGGCTCCTTCCTTCTGGCTGCTGCTTCCCCAGGCAGTGCACCTTGCAGGAACACCCTCAGCACCCAAACCCACCAGCATCAGCATTAGGGTTCCAAAAGGAGAGAAAGGAGGTGGGGAAGGAGCTGTGCTTGCCCTGTTGGGACCATCCTGGAACTGTGTCCTCCTCCTGCTCACCTGCTGCAGCACAGAAACCAGGCTGTACCTCCTGCAGAAGGTGGTCTACCCCCTACCCCAGGGGGCAGGCTGTCCCATCCAACATCCACAGAGATCTAGGGAGAGGGGACCATTGCCACCAACACACCAGTGTGGAGCTCAGCTGGGACACCAGGGGAGCAGGGAAAAGTTCTGGGGCAGGGGAATGAACAACTGCCAGAAAGGAGGAAACTGCTTAGCAAAGAGCATAGAAAAGTTTATTGTGGAGCTAAAGAGCTCCAGACATGGTTTCTGGACAGGTTCTGCAGGGACAAAGGGTAAGAAAACACACGAGGGCTGCTCAGGGGCACCTGCTGGAGGGAAATGACCAATGTCTGCTGTGTGGAGGGACAGCTGGTCTCTGAAAGCCCTGCTCTGCTGCAGGGTTAGTTCCTCTGGGGGACACCAGGTGTGAGGAGAAACATGGGAAGGACTTTGTCCAACACGGATCCACCAGTGAGCAGATGCCCTGGGCTCTGCAGACAAGCAGTGCCATGTCTGCTGCTCCACCAGGGTTGGTCCCACACCACAGGGTCACAGCACCTTGTGCAGGAGCCAGGGAAGCTGTGAGGAGTGTGAGGGCAAATCCTACCTCCAGATTGTGATCATGTCTTCAACAGCTCCATGAAACTCACACCTGCTGATCCATGGCTCACCTCATTTGATGAAGAGTCAAAGCTCCTCATTCCAGCTCCTTCAGGAGTCAAAAATCAGCCAACACAGAAGGAGGGTAAGAGAGCCTGGAGTGAGGGATTGTATCTACAACGGCCTCACCAAAAGCTTCCCAAGGATTGTCCCAGGGAGTGCTCAGCCTGGATGGTCCTGGCTATGAGCCACACTTACCCCATCAACCCTTCAGCAAAGGAGGACTTCCCTACTGCAGCTTCAGCTCTGCATGGATCATGTTTCCAGGAGCAGCTGCACCACTTCTCCTTCTCCTTGAAGGCAAAGACTTCATGAAGTGGCCACAGCATGAGCACCAGGCAGCATGGTGAGGGTGCTGGGTGCTTCCTGGGGAGCCAGGCCAGCTGCTGGCACTCAGGAATGCTCCTGGAATGGGCTGAGCCTTCCAGCATCCAGCAGGCACTTCCCTGCCTCTCTCTGCAGAAGTGAGTTTCCAAGAAGAAAGTCCATCTGGACCTAAAGCTGCAGGGGAAGTGGACTTTGTGTGGACCTCGGAGCAGAGCAGGAGCCAGTGGGAGCACTGGGAGAACAAGCCAGGCTGGGAATTGTGTACTTCAAAGCTAGGAGTCCATGCCTGGGCCATGTTGGCTGTGCCCAGAGGGCTTTTGTCCCCAGATCCTGTCCTGCTCTGGACCATTGCTGATGAGCACTCTCAGACCAAGCCAGGCAAGGGGAGGAGCAGCTCAACTCAACTCCCACAGCCTTGTCTTGTCCCTCCTCAACCTGCACTGACCCCAGGCTGGAGGAAGGGTGGCTTGTGGTTTCCACACACCAAAACACGTGGCAGGGTGACAAAGACTCCCTGTGCTTCCTGCTCAACCTTCGTGTCCACCCACACCTGACCAGGAATGGTGCAAAGGTCCCAGGCAGCTGCTCAGGGAAGGGGCTGGGTGGCAGGTAATGGGTGGTGGCAGGTAAGAGCCACTCCAGTGACAAGGTCCATCAGGTCACCCTGGGCTAGATTAGCTGGTTGCTGGGCAGAGCTGGGCTTGCTGGCAGCCCTGGCCTCAGCCAGGAGTTTGGAATGGGAAGCAGAGGGCAGGGAATGTCCCAGCACAGGAAATGTCCCACGACTCCAGGCACTGGCCCCAGACTCTGCTGCAGGATTTTTCTACCCTACAGAGACTCCAGGCCTGGCTGTGGCCTCACATGGATCTGGCAGCCCAGGCAAGGAGAAGGTTTCAGGACCTGCTGTATCCCAGAGCTCCCGGAGGCAGCCCAGGCTGCTGGGAAGGTGGAGCAGGTGAGAGGACACTGCTTTGCAGAGCACATGCTGGTGAACTCAGCTTGAGGCCACACAGTGGAAAGGGCTGTGGGGACAGGGTGACCCTGAGGCTACTCCCTGAGCAACCTGCTGAAGCTCCTGTGCATGATGCCAAGGCTGACAGGGGGTAGGCAGACGGGAAATCCAGCTTTGAGGGGTGCAGGGAAGAGCTGAGCTGCTGCCTTGTCCTTCCCCAGGAAGGGTGTGCAGAGGGGACAGCCCAGCCCCTCAGCCAGCACCCAGCTCCTCTCCAGCAAGATGCCCACCTCAGCTTTGTCACCTTATTGCCTCTTGCCTTTGGTTGGGTAGGAGCAATATCCCCCTGGTGTCTGCCAGCAAGCACACAGCATGGGGACAGGTCCCTCAGCACCCCACGGAGCACTAAGGCCACCTCCTTGACCAGTGGCAGCCCTGGACACTTCCCTGTCAGGGAGACCATTCCCCCTGGAGCAGGAGAGGACCTCAGGGACAATCCTGGCTCAGGAAGAGGCAGCAGCCAAAGCAGTGATAGTGCAGGGGTTTTGCTGCCTCTCAGCTAGTTCTGCTGGAGGATGGACAGCAGTAGCTGAAGGGATGCTGCTGCCCCCAGGGAACCAGAGGGGTGGAGATCTTGGAAGAGCAAAGAGAACCTCTTGCCTTGTCCCCAGAAGCTGTAGCTTTGGAAAGGTGATGACTAGGCCACTGTGGTGTTTGTCCTTATATCCTCATATCTGCCCACCTGCTGCTTGCTGGTGCATTTTCTGTGGGGTGGCTCAGATGTGGGCTGGGAGACATGAGGTTCTCCACTGCTCTGACTTACAAACACAGCAGGAACCTTGGTAAAAAGTTCCAGGTCTCGTTCCACACGTGTGTCTTGCTGGCAGCTTTTCCTTTTTACTTTGTGCCCAGAATACAAAGTCTTCTTCCTGTCGCCTCTGGGATTGGTTGTGGCCAAGGGAAGGTGTTGAGAGTTGCTGGGGTTCTTTTTAGGAGGCCTGGGAAGGGCTGTGCTCCCCAGGCGAGTCTGAGCCACAGGAATCTCATCCATGGATTCAGCAGACTCTGAGTGATAGTCACCTGGGGGTCCTGCTGCCTGGATGAAGCCCAAGGAGCTGGGGGGCACAGCAGGTCTCTGAGGAAAAGCTGGAACCACGAGGCTGTGGGAGGAGGAGGAGGAGGTGGCAGCAGCCGTGGCTGGGACTTCTACAGCTGGAAAGGAAAGGAGGAGAAAGCTTAAGGAGAGAGTTGAAAGATCCCTCAGCCCCACAGAGCCCCAACAAGCCCAGGAACTCTCCCATGGCTGATTCAGAAAAGCACACAGATTTATACAAAATTCAGTATAAAGATGTAGAGGATTCTACCCTCCGTGGTGTGCCCAGGTCTGAGCACCTCAGGGTGGCTCCAAGCACTCCCAGACACTCAGTTTTTCCTTCTGAGGCAACTTAACCTCCTGCCACTGCTGGGTTTGCAGGACACACTTCATTTCTGGGTGCCAACAAGTCCAACCCAGAGGGCAGAGAACCACAGGATCACAGCATGTCAGGGGTTGGAAGGGACCTTTGAAGATCATCCAGTCCAACCCCCTGCCAGAGCAGGAGCAAAACCAGGGCAGGTCACTCAGAAAGGCATCCAGACAGGGCTGGAAAGGCTCCAGAGAAGGAGACTCCACCACCTCTCTGGGCAGCCTGTCCCAGGGCTCTGTCACCCTCACAGCAAAGAAGTTCTTCCTCATGTTGAGGTGGAACTTCCTGGGCTCCAGTTTGAATCCATTGCCTGGTGACTCTCACCTGACTGGGGGGCTGGGAAAGGGGGCCAAGGTCTGGCCTGTGGTCTAGAGCTGCTGTCCCCTGCTGAGAAGGAGGCTCCACGTGTCTTCTTTCTTCTTTTCTTCTGTGGCTGTGAAAGGAAGAGGTCCAAAAGAAGGGAAATCAGTTCCTCAGCCCAAATGAAGAAGACACTCTGGGGTTTTCATCCCTCCCTCTCTTTTATTCCTCTTATTTTTAATCCTGAGGACTTGGGGTGACCACAGACCAGAGGTATTTTCTGGTTTAGGACTGAGTTGCTGTCAAGCAGTGAGAGAGAAGAGGGGTCTCCTGAACACAGTGAGTCCTCGTGTGCAGGTGCCTCAGGCTGGTGGCTCATGTGGTTGGAGATGCACAAAGACACTGGTGGACAAAGGCATTTGTAGGGTCCAAATAGAAGAGGAGACCACAAGTCCCACAGCACAGGATGTTAAAATACAAGTAGAGAACCACAGAATCATGGAATGGCTTGGGTTGGAAGGGACCTTCAAGATCACCTAGATCCAACCTGCATGGGCAGGGACACCTCCCAGCAGCCCAGGTTGCTCCAAGCCCCATCCAACCTGCCCTTCAACACTGCCAGGGATGGGGCAGCCACAGCTTCCCTGGGCAACCTGGGCCAGGCTCTCACCACCCTCTCAGCACAGAATTTCCTCCTCATGTCCAACCTCAATCTCCCTCTTCCAGTTTCAATCCCTTCCCCCTTGTCCTATTGCTACATGCCCTAGATGACATGAGTTTTATTAATAACCTTGGAGGAAGAGGGGGGAGCACCAACACCTTTGAGAAGGTGGAGAGAGCACCTGGACCCAGGCACATGAACACCAAGAGGAGAAAGCTTGACTTTGGACAGCTGTTCCCTCCACCCAAGCTCCATATCCACACACAGCATCTTTCTCTGGGCTTTCACATCCATGTTTGAGTGTATCAAGTGTTGGATTTTGCTCCACAGGAACATGTCCAGCTTGTTCCATCATGGAAGCAGGAAAGATAAGAGCTGCTTAACTGCAGAGAGGTGTTAAGAGTTGAGCTGTGAGCTCAGGAGGTACCAGCAGAACATCCCTGACCACCTGTGAGAGCTGGGACAGGAGAGTGTCACTGGGGGGTAGTGACCAAGGCCCAGCCACACCTGCACATACACACTGAGGACAGGGAGGGGTGCACAAAGGAGGTGACCATGGCCTGTGCCAGTCAGGGGGCACCCAAGCACCTCAGTCAAGTGTCCACTGCAGACGGGATGTTTCACAGGGACATTTCACAGCATCCTTCTGGTTGGAAAAGATCTTGAAGATGATTGAGTCCAACCATAACCCAACTCTACCAACCACTAAACCAACCCTACCAAGCCCAGTGCTTAACCCGTGTCCCTCAGCACCACATCTACAGGGCTTTGAAACCCCTCCAGGGATGGGGATCCCACCACCTCCCTGGGGAGCCTGGGCCAGGGTTTAGTGACCCTTTCAGGGAGGAAGGTTCTCCCAAGATCCAATCTAAACCTCTCCTGGCACAACTTGAGGCCACTTCCTCTTGTCCCATCCCTTGTTCCTGGGGAGCAGAGCCCGACCCCCCTGGCTCCAACCTCCTCTCAGCAGCTGCAGAGCCAGCAGGTCTCCCCTCAGCTCCTTGTCTCCAGGCTGGACACCCCCAGCTCCCTCAGCTGCTCCTGCTCACACTTGTGCTCCAGCCCCTTCCCCAGCTCCCTTGCCCTTCCCTGGCCACGCTCCAGCCCCTCCATGTCCTTCTTGTCCTGAGGGGCCCAGAACTGACCCCAGGATTTGAGGTGCAGCCTCCCCAGTGCCCAGCACAGGGGATGGTCACTGCTCTGCTCCTGCTGGCCACACCAGTGCTGACACAAGCCAGGATGCTGGTGGCCTTCTTGGCCACTTGGGCACACACTGGCTCATGTTCAGCCACTGTTGACAACACCCCCAGGTGCTTTTCCCCAGCCTGCAGAAAGTCTCCTACTTACCTGAGATGGGACCACAAAGTGAAGAGATGGGGGGTCTGGAGAGAAGCTCTGCTCAGGGTCAGCCTCATCATTGTGGACACAGAGCTTGGAAAAGCTACAAGAGATCCACAAGAGACATCCCTCAGACACCCCTCACTCTGATGCCCACCTTGCTTGCACACATCCTGACCAGAGCATCCCTCACCTTGCACAGCATTCCCAGCAAAACTGCAGGGAAACTGATCCTGGACAAGTTGGCAAAATATTTAGGGTTTCCTCTCTCCCTTCTCCAGGGACATGAGTTAATAGGCAAGAATTAATTAAGAGACAAGGATGGTGTTTCCCCAGGAGCCTGTGTTACCAGCTTGGGATCTTAACATCTCTCAACAACCTGAAATGATGCAGCTACAATCAGCTCCACGTGGGAATTACAGGAGAAATCAGGCAGCTTTCAAGTCATTTTAATACAAAACAGCCTAAAACAGAGGAATCTAGGCAAGATATTTTCCCAGGGGAGGGGAGACAAATACTCCTGCAGGTATTTTGACCCTCCTGAAACTCCAAGATTTCACCACACTTTGGTCACTGGTGCTCCCTATTCTCCTTGGTTTCTCAGTGTCTTTGGGGACCATTTCCCAGTGCTACTGGGAGACTCCCAGCTAGGACTTCACTCACTCTTTTCCTGAAGCTGCTGTTGAGAATTCCTCTACTGGAACACCAGGGTCTGTATAACCAGGGTTACCTGGGGAAAAGTCTCCTTCCTGGAAGGCAAAAGAAAGGAAAAAAGAATTAACATTTTCAGCCCAATATGAACACAGAGTGGAGAAGAGGGATTTTTCACCACTGAGATGTCTTCTTTTCCTTCCTCAGTCACTTGCCAGATATTTTCTGCCCTCCCAGCTGAAACTCAGCAGGAGTTTGCTGCTTCAGAAGATGGAAAACCAAGCTTGAGACCATCAGAAGTCCCTGATTCATTCATTCAGTCCAGCCAGCACTTCATGTGACTCAGAATCAAATCAGAACCCACTTCCAGAGAGCAGCTTAATCACTTCTTGGGACCACATACAAAATAGCACTTAAAGCCTCCATTAGTTCCAGAGATCAATCACAGGAGTTCAGCAGTGAATGCAAAAAAAACAAACCCCAACAACCTCCTTTAAGATGTAAAATGGAGGTGATGGAAATGAAACATGCAGGGAAACAGAAAGTGTGGTTGTTTGGTTACTGCAGAGCTAATTACAGGGCTGGGTTTTTTAAAAGGAATGGGATCTATTGCCTCAGGTCTTCAGAATTCCAAGTCATGCCATCCTGAATTTTAAAATCAGGAATCAACCCCTTCAATCCAAGTGTTTGCATTACAGAAATGAGCTCCCAGTTGTCCCTTTCTGATCTGAGGGCTCTGCTCTTTGGGGCTGTTCCAGGCAGGGTTTAGCCAAGCCCTGGATTAATAATCTGCAGAAATTCATCACCATTAACCCACCCATTTGAAATGGAACTTGTAACTCAAGGCAGATCCTTGCTCCTCAGCAGCTGAACCTCAAAGGTACAGAGATTGTTCCTCAAAGCTCCTTGGGGCCCAAATGTTTCACGTTGACATTCAAAGCTCATGCACCTGAGTCCCAAAGGAAGGAGAGCAGACACAACCTGGTGTCCCTGAGGACATGGGGTGGAGATTTAGGTGTTCCAGAGGAAAGCCCACCGTGGCTGAGCTGAGCTGCAGCACAGGACAGCCTGTAGCACTGTCCCCTGGTATGAGGGGACAGCAGGACAGGGCACAATTAACCATCAAGCCCCAACATATCAACATTTCAGAGGAGATGAATGAATGACAGAGTTTGAGAAGATCACAAAGAATTCTTTCCAAGCAAGGAGTGAAAAAGCTTTTGAAAATCCATTTTGTCCATCTCAGCCTTTTATAAATTATGCACAACCAAAGCAGGCAGAAAAAAAGAAAGCAAATCATTAGAGCTGACTGGGAGAAGCAGATGGGAGAACACTCAGTAGAAAATACAATGTTCTCTCAGTGTGACAAAGCCCCAGGGATGACACCAAGTCCCAGCCTCCCTCTCTGCTGCCACAGTCAGCAGGACAGTCACTGTCCTTCAACTGGGACAGCAAGACAAAGCCACTCTTTGCTACAGGGTTGTTAGGATTCAGCTTTTCCTCTTGCTTTTCTGAAAACAGGCTGCTGAGTGGGCAGAGTGCCCGAGTCCACTGCCACCTTCCACACCCTGAGACCTCCTCTACACCAGCTGTGCCCACCCCAAGGGTCTTTGGTCACAGCTTCAGGATGGATTCAGCTCCCTTGCCCACTGCAGCCCCTCTCACCACCCACTTCAGAGACAGCCTGGAATGTTGCCTGGGTCCAGGGGAGGCAGAAATGACCAGGGAAAAATGGCTCTTGTCCCAGGGAAAGTGGGTCTGTTGCAAGTCATAGAATCATGGAATGGTGAAGGTTGGAAGAACCTTAAACACCATTCAGTCCCAGCCCCCCTGCATGGGCAGGGACACCTCCCACCAGCCCAGGTTGCTCCAAGCCCCATCCAACCTGCCCTTCAGCACTGCCAGGGATGGGGCAGCCACAACTTGTCCTGTGCCCAGTGTCAAGGCTGAGGGTGCAGACCAGGTTCATCTGCACCAGACACTGGAAGAGAGAAGCAATGTTGAAAATGTGAGGGAAGCTGAGGAAAATTCATGTTTATTATTTAAAATCAAACCTCACTGACCTGAATCAGTGCCCAAAGCAAGTTCAAAGCTTTAGGAATGTTTTAAAAAATCACATCCCAGCTGGCTGTCAACTCCAGCTCCCTGGTATGAAAGCAATTAGGCATGAAAGCCTCAGGTTTGGGTTAGTTTATATTTCTTTGCAGCTGCCTACAGAAAAAAACTGTTCCTTGCACATGCTGCTCTGGGCAGAGTAAAAGAGGCACAGCCTGGATGTGTCCAACTGGTTTGCATTTTTCATGACATCTGAACCACTCAAGTGTGCAAAATGAGGGCTTTGACTGTGTGCATGTTCTGAGGAGGGTTTTACAAGCACATATGAATCCTTTAACCTGAACAGGAATCCTTTAACCTGAACAGGAATTCTTTAACCTGGGCAGGAATCCTTTAGACAGGAATCCTTGAACCTAGACAAGAATCCTTAAAAGTGAACAAGAATCCTTTAATCTGGGCAGGAATCCTTCAAACAGGAATCCTTTAACCTGAGCAGGAATCCTTTAACCTGGTAGTGAATCCTTTACCCTGAACAGGAATCCTTGAACCTGGACAGGAATCCTTGAACCTGGACAGGAATCCTTTAAAGTGAACAGGAAACAACTTTAACCTGGACAGGAATTCTTTAGAGAGGAATCCTTTAACCTTGACAAGAATCCTCTAACCTGGACAGGACTCCTTTAACCTGGACAGGAACCCTTTAACCTGGTAGTGAATCTTTCACCCTGAACAGGAATCTTTTAACCTGGACAAGAATCCTTTAAAGTGAACAGGAATCCTTCACCCTGAACAGGACTCCTTTAACCTGGAAAAGAATCCTTTAATCTGGACAGGAATCCTTTAACCTGGTAGTGAATCCTTCACCCTGAACAGGAATCCTTTAACCTGGACAGGACTCCTTGAACCTGAACAGGAATCTTTTAACCTGGACAGGACTCCTTGAACCTGGACAGGACTCCTTTAACCTGAACAGGAATCCTTTAACCTGAACAGGACTCCTTTAACCTGGCCAGAGCCAAAGACTTCCCCACAGACAAAACTGAAGCCAAAACCAACACCCAGGCTTGATTAAGGCTCCAAACCAAGGATGAAAAGGAACATGCATCTTTCTCCTCACTCCCTAAAATGAATGAACAGTCAAGACAAAAGTGGGAAGAGGATGATTTCCATGTTATGCTCCCAACATCTTGGATCCATGACAAAGGATTGCTTTGTTCAAGCTAAAGCAGGCTGCAGTCAACACAGCTTACAAAAGGCAAGTCACTCAGTGTCCTCCTACTCCAATCTATTTGTTTGTGTTTATCCCTGGTTGCTATGTAAGAAACAAGGAAAATCTGGTGGGTTCACATTTTTCTGAACAATGTTCTTTGGCATCATCCTGTTCTTCTTGTTCCCCAAGGTCCTGAGTGCAGCCCTGAAACACCACTCTCCTTCTCACCCTGTTTCATCCAGGGTTCCTGCTTCCACCTTCACCCACCTCTAGGTAGGCACCAGAGGGGGCAGGAGGACATCACTGAACTGCTCCATCCCACACAGAGTCCACCCCTGTCCAGCTGTGTTCTCAGCCTCCATCAAAATTCAGTCACTAGGAAGTGATGAGAGCTCATGTTTTATCATCATTTTCATGCTCTGTGAGACCAAGTGCCAAATATTTTTGTTGTTATGGAAACCTCTGTTTAAACTGAAAGTTCAGCTTTTCCATGATAGAAAAAAAAAAACACAAAACCCAACATATTCAAAACTGGGGCCTCCATATTGTACAGAAAAGGAATCATCTCCCTCACCCCTTTGCTTCGATAAAGAAAAAACCATGAATAGTCCAGAGAGATCCCAGGATCTCTCCATGGAATATCTGGATGAAGTTTGGATCCAATTTATATCTTATGAAATATAAAACTGGTTGTATAGAGGTGACTTCCTAGCTGGAATTACACAGGATTGGAGAATAATTTAGACTAAGAAGAACTTCTGGAAGTTTCTAGTCCAACCCCCCAGTTCAAAGCCAGTAAAAAATTCTTCCAGTTCAATTTTCAGTAATTGCAGGGATAAAAAAATAAATGGCACTGAAGTCTCTCAATTCATAGCAGAATGAATGTGGAATGAAGTGGAACAGCATGAAAGAGCTTGTAGGACCCTTTTGACAGCTCAATAGCATCACAAGGACCCTCAACCCTCTGCAGAATCAGTTCCAAGACAAGCAGGTATCTGAGTCATTTCTGAATATGGTTGGTGTCCTTCTCCTTTTCAAGATGGTTGAACTATTTGGTATGATCAGCTGCTTGATGATTAGCCCCAGTTTCTTCAGCCTGTCTTGCTCTCAGTCATGACCTGTGATACTGCTCACATGAGCCAGACAGACCTGCAGTGTCACCAGCACTGGAAGGACATGGAGCTGTTTGGGCCAGAGGAGGCCAAGAAGATGATGGGAGGGCTGGAGCAGCTCTGCTCTGGAGCCAGGCTGGGAGAGTTGGGGTGTTCAGCCTGGAGAAGAGAAGGCTCCAGGGAGACCTTAGAGCAGCTTCCAGTGCCTGGAGGGGCTCCAGGAAAGCTGGGGAGGGACTTGGGACAAGGGCAGGGAGGGAGAGGACAAGGGGGAAGGGATTAAAGCTGGAAGAGGGAGATTGAGGTGAGACATGAGGAGGAAATTGTTTGGTGTGAGGGTGGTGAGAGCCTGGCCCAGGTTGAGCAGGGAAGCTGTGGCTGCCCCATCCCTGGCAGTGTTGAAGGGCAGGTTGGATGGGGCTTGGAGCAGCCTGGGCTGGTGGGAGGTGTCCCTGCCCATGCAGGGGGTTGGGACTGGATGATCTTTGAGGTCCCTTCCAACCCAAACCAAAGCTGATTCTATGATTCCATGAAAACAGATGGTCCTGTCCTTTCCCATGACAGGACCCTTCCCACTCTGCAGTCATCCTCCTCATGCTGACACAGGCACTTCTCTGGCTGCTTGGTGAACCAAAGAGGAGGGAGCTGGGCCAGCAAACCACGAGCTCAACTATTATTTTAAGCAAGCATAAATAAAAATTAAAACTACTCTTTCTTCTTACCCAGATGAGATTCCCCACCCTGCTCACTGCATGACTGAGAAACAGCTGTGCTGGCAGAAGAGAAAGGACAGTGCAGGGCCCAAAACAAGTGCTGGGGGAAGAGAGTGAGTGGGATTGATTCCTTTGAAAGCAGGTGGAGTTGATTCTTTGCTTGCTTGTGCCTGAAGTGCCCATCAAACCACACACTCTCTCACCTCCTCCTACTCAACTCCACCTCTAAAACCTCATCTCTAGCAGCTGCCTCTACAACTTGGAGCTGGGAAAAGCAAAGCAAACTGTACAGTGTGGACAGGCCAGGCAGGGGTTTTGAGGAATGGAGTGGAAGGAGGACAAATACCTGATTGGGGCTGAATTGGGAGGGACAAGATTCCCGCTGCTTGTCTGTCTCTTTGGCCTCTTGTTGGGGACGCTGCTGCAGGATGTACTCGTAGGTAGTCAACTTGTTCCACACTGGGAGGGAAAGACAGAGCTGTCAGCACAGCCCCACCCCCCACTGCACTGAGCCAGCCTGAGAATGACACCATCAAACAGTAATAATAAACAGGAAAAGACTGATCCTCCAAGCCCAAAGCACCTCTGGTTTGTATCTCTTACTATATCTTCTACTGTATCATCACAGCTTCTCACAGTCCCAATGTTCTCCCAAAGGCCCCTCCCACAACATGGTAGAACCTTCTGGGCTGCAGGAATTGGTTCAGTTCAGAGCAAACCCACCCCTCACAGCCCAGCTGGGTGAGCTCAGTGAGTAGGCAGCAGGTAGGGGATGCTAAATTGAGGGAAGAAATTCAGCATGTTATTGTCTCCTGGAGAGACTGAGACTCTTGATGTCCAAACCACTGAGCAGGAAATGCCCAGCCTGCCTGGAGCCAGACATGGTCATTTGGGGGTGTTCAGCCTGGAGCAGAGAAGGCTCCAGGGAGACCTTAGAGCACCTTCCAGTGCCTGAAGGGGCTCCAGGAAAGCTGGGGAGGGTCCTGGGACAAGGGCAGGGAGGGAGAGGACAAGGGGGAAGGGATTAAAACTGGAAGAGAGAGATTGAGGAGGGACATGAGGAGGAAATTGTTTGGTGTGAGGGTGGTGAGAGCCTGGCCCAGGTTGCCCAGGGAAGCTGTGGCTGCCCCATCCCTGGCAGTGTTGAAGGGCAGGTTGGATGGGGCTTGGAGCAGCCTGGGCTGGTGGGAGGTGTCCCTGCCCATCCAGGGGGTTGGATCTAGATGATCTTAAAGTCCCCTCCAACCCAACCCAGTCTGGGATTCTACGTGCCTGAGCTGATGAGCTCTGAAGGGCTCCCCCACACAAACCCATCTGCTTCCACCAGTGACCAAAAGCCTGTGACATTTCTGAGAAGCCTGGTCCCTTCATGAGACCCACAGCATTGCAAGGATCCAAATCACAGACATTCCTCCCTTAGTGACCCCCTGATGATAAATATTCTGGAGCACAAATGGGTGCTGAGGTTTGTAGTGCACAGCCTGTCATTCCTCCTTGTTGCAGAAGCAGATGCCTAGGAGTGGGACATCCAGACTCATCCAGTCCTGAAGTGCATGAAGACACTCACACCAGCAACATCCTACCTCCCAAAACCATGCCCTAAAACCAGGATTACTCCCCAGGGAAGTGGAGGAGAACAGAGGAGAAGGTGCCCCTCCTGGAATAGCAATAACCTTTTGAAGAAATAAGAAAGAAACCATTTTGAATTGAGTTCTTTGCTTTCTCAACACTTAACAATGAAACTTTACAACCATTTTAGAGCTATTTAGTTAAAAAATATTGCAAGGGTCTGGCCTGATAACACTGCAGCACCTCCTGTGCAATATAGAATCCCAGCTCCAAAGCCTTTCCTATATTCTCCTTCTTTCCTATATTTTCTCCTTCCTTCCTATTCCTTTTCCCTTCCTCATTCTTTCTTTTTCCTTTTGCTTCCTATTTGCCTCTCAGTATTGAAGACCAAAATAAAACCTCCCTCCAAACTTCCATTCCACTGGATGCCTCTGGAATGAGTCTCAGTCCAAGCCTGATCATTCTGACTACATGGAACAACCTCCTTCTTTCCTGAACAGTGAGTAATTATTATAATTCTGACAGTTCACTGTCCTTGTCACAAAACTAGATCCTAAAATAAATCCTACCTGACCCAAAAAAAGGTCAGACAGCTCCTTCCAATAATTCCAAGCATTTAGATGAAACTCTTGGCAGATACAGGTGTGAAGTAAGAGGAATTTCAAGAGGTACTTTGTCCATCTCCCTGAATCCCAGTAAGTGTAACACATCCCCAGTCTAGGTTAATATCTCTCCTTTTAAGCACCTCTGCACAGCTGGAATTGGTTTCCACGGGGTAACAGGCTTTCATGGCATAAAAAATGAACCAAAATGGATAAGAATTGAATTCTGGTCCCCATGGAAATCATAACGATTTCAAATTGGGTCAGAAAGAGAAGGGATTTTGGCTCAAAATGTCCCGTGAAAGAGGTTGGCAAATCCCCCTAAGGTAAGAGCAACAAAAAATCTCCCAGATCCGGAGTGGAACTGGTTTAACACGGTTGTGTTTGACAAGGGAAAGCGTCTCCTTCTCCCGAGGAGGGAGCACCCCCTTGTGGGAGTTGTACATCAGGACAGGACCAAGATCACTCATGCATAAACCGAATCATCCTCTGGTTTTCATGCAGAATAAACTTTCCTGGAGCAGCTTTATGAAGCTTTTAAGTCCTTCCACCGTGCTAGATGGACCTTTGAAATCTCCAGGCACCCCCATCGACCCAGCAAAGTCAACTTGACATTCCCCCAAGAAAGCAAAATTGCAGCATGACCAAATTTCACAGAATTACAGGATCCTTCTGGTTGGAAAAGACCTTTAAGATAATCAAGTCCAACCACAACCTAATTCTACCAACCATAACCCAATCCTACCAAGCCCAGAGCTTAAACCATGTCCCTCAGCACCACATCTTCACAGCTTTGAAACCCCTCCAGGGATGGGGATTCAACCACCTCCTGAGCCGGTGTTTAATGACCCTTTCAGGGAAGTTTCTTCTCATATCTAAAGCTCAAAGAGGCTGTGAGAGGAAAACATGAGAGGAAAAGGCCAATGCCAGCTGAGGAACACTCACCCACCAAACCCCACCCTCCAGCAGGGCAACTATTTTGCTTCTGGAGCTGGTTTGTGCTGACCTAGTTTGTGTTGGCACCTGCATGGCTGTGAACTGACAACCTAAAAATCCATCCAAGGATCCTCAGTAACCACTGTCCTCATTCCTCTTCCACCACATCCCTTCTTCCCTGCTTTTGGCATCACTGACCCCTGCAAGTGGGTCAGATCTTTTCTCACCAGAACTTACATCAAGCAGCCAAATAGTCTTGGCTTCATCTTAGAGGGTGGCTGAAAAAAGTGTTTGGATGCCCATAAACAAACATAGAAATACCTTCTGGAGAGAGCAACATGCAGGAGATCTAACGAGGAGCCAGGGTGGCTGAAAAAAGTGTTTGGATGCCCATCTGAACATAAACAAACATTAAAATCCCTTCTGGAGAGAGCAACATGTAGGAGATCTAACGAGGAGCATCCCTGAAAACCTCTTCCCCTGAATTCCACAAGTCTCCTTCAGCTGATAGAGTAGAACTTCCACAAAGGAACCTTGACATGGAATGTAGATCAACACCATCCATGTTTCTCTGCGTTATCACAGAATCCCAGACTGGTTTGGGTTGGGAAAGGGACCTTAAAGATCATCTAGTTCCAACCCCCTGCATGGGCAGGGACACCTCCCACCAGCCCAGGCTGCTCCAAGCCCCATCCAACCTGCCCTTCAACACTGCCAGGGATGGGGCAGCCACAGCTTCCCTGGGCAACCTGGGCCAGGCTCTCACCACCCTCACACCAAACAATTTCCTCCTCATGTCTCACCTCAATCTCCCTCTTCCAGTTTTCATCCCTTCCCCCTTGTCCTCTCCCTCCCTGCCCTTGTCCCAAGTCCCTCCCCAGCTTTCCTGGAGCCCCTTCAGGCCCTGGAAGGTGCTCTAAGGTCTCCCTGGAGCCTTCTCTTCTCCAGGCTGAACACCCCAACTCTCTCATCTTGTCTTCATAGAGGAGATGTTCCAGCCCTGGAGAACCAAATCCTTGTCCTGTGGGTGCCAGGGAAGCAGGAGCACATCTCTGGAAGGAGGGTCTGAGGTGTGTCTTGAGCTACCTCTGAGCCATTGCTGTGTTAGGGGTGGCTCACTTGGAAGGGAGGTGAAATACCCTAGTCCAGGTGTGGAAGATTCATTATGGCAGGAGCTTGGAGAGCACCTACAACAGCACTGGTGGGTTTGACTGCTGGAGCTTGTTGGGCTCCTTGAAGCTTGTTTTGCTGCAGTAGCACAAAGCCCAGCTTGGGACCTGCAGCTGTGTCTGTGCAAGGGGCGCTTTGCTTCTGCCTGGGATCCTGACAGCATCAAGTTCCCTCATGGATGATGGGCCAGGCTTTGGTTTTGGGGTGTCTGCAGGAAAAGTATCTACCCATGGCTCCTGTGTTCCTGCACTGTGCCCAATGTTGGGGGTTTGAGAAAGGGGGTGAGCTTTAGTCAAGTTATCTTGCATTTATAGTGGAAAAAGGGTAAAAGCAGGGACATCTCATGCAGTGAGGCTGGCATGTGATAACTCCCTAACCCACATTAATGAGAGCAGGCAGTGAAATCCACACTTGGAGAGAGGAACCCCTGGGAGTCACCACGTCAAGGTGAGAAGCTGGAGCTTAATTTCATTATCTTATCAATAACTAGCTGGTCTCATGCTGTGTTGTGAATTCTCAGGAGTATCAGTGCTATCTTTGGCTGTCTAAGCAAAGTAAAAATGAATACAAGCAGGGAAGAGTATTGTGTGCAGTCCTGGTATCTACACCTTAGATATGGTGTTGGCAAACTGGGGAGAGATAAGAGAGGAGCTACAAGGGTGATGTGAGGTCTGCAATGCATGCTGAAGGGAGAGACTGAAGCTCAATCAGTTTCTTTTAACAAAGAGATGATTAAGGGGTGATTTTGTTATTGTCTGGAACCAGGGGAAGGGACTTCTGGACAAGGTGAAGTTCTGTTCCTTTGGACAATGAGGTAGAGTCCCAAGGTTTGCTGGGCACTGCATTTCAATATGGTTCTTTCACCCCTGCATCACTTGTCTTCC